TTTTTTTTTTTTTTTTTTAATGGAGTCTCACTCTGTTGCCCAGACTAGAGTGCAGTGGTGCAGTGTCAGCTTACTGCAACCTCTACTTCCCAGGTTCCAGTGATTCTTCTGCCTCAGCCTCCCAGGTAGCTGGGGTTACAGGCATGCACAACCACACCCAGCTAATTTTTATATTTTTAGTAGAGAGGAGGTTTCACTATGTTGGCCAGGTTTGTCTCGAACTCCTGACCTCAGGTGATCTGCCTGTCTCGGCCTCCCAAAGTGTGAGGATTACAAGTGTGAGCCACTGTGCCTGGCCTGTGTATCTTATTTTAAATAAAATGTATTATTAGTGGCAGAATAATTCTGGGAAGGAAATGTGTATGTGTATATTTATAATTACTAGACTGAATCATATGAAATTGCCAATTTTTCACTGGTTTTGACCTACATGTGTCTATAGACTTAGGAAAAATGAAGAAAAAGGCATAGAGAATTTCTCAGTTAACCACTCAACTATGACATTTTTTTCCTCTTCTAGTACAAATCTTCTTCCTTACCCTGTTGATGACTACAATCTACTCTGCAAAGAACTCCAATAGATTTTACCTCCACCAAGCTATCCGGAGGACCTTTGCTCACCGTTTCTCAGAAATCAAGCTTCTTCAGGATTTCTATCCCTGGGCCAATCACATCCTCCTTCCTAACCTGTATGGGGATTACAGAGGTAAGAATGCAGTCCTGGAGCTCAGTCATTGCAAATGTGGGATACAATTAATTTTCCAAATACCCGCTACCAAGACCCATGAGAAAGTGAGGAAGGTCAGCTGGCTTTTATTGATACGGCCATACCTGTGGGTGTCCCAAGGGCCTGTTCCTTGAACCTCATCTAAGCAGGTTCAGTTATATCTGTTCACCCAGGCCTTTGGGGCTGATTTCCACTGATGAGCTTCACAAAAAGCTGACAAGAATGAGAATGGTTTCAGTGACATCATGAGAAGGAACTGGAGTGACCCCTGGGACTCAACCACATGTAGCAAAGAAGGCTGTTGGATAAGTGGAAAACCAGTAATGTGGTTTCGCTGGAAAGATCTCCACATGAGATGATATTCTGGCCTGAGCCATCTTTCCCAGTCTATGAGTGTGTCTCTGTAACTTTACCTTTGCTTGGATGGGTACCCAGTTCAGCCCCCACAAACATTCCTGGAACTCCTGTAATAAGCTGGGAACTGTCCTAGGAGCTAATGATAAAAAGATGGACCTGATATGGTTTGCATCTTCAAGGAACATCACCATGCAGAGGAGTTAGTATGCTTTTTTGTGGACAGTGATGAAGAAATGCTAATGAATGACTTTCTTAAAGAATGCATCTTTTTTGTTTGTTTGTTTTTTTGTTTTTGAGATTGTCTGTCTGTCATGCAGGTTGGAGTGCAGTGGCATGATCATGGCTCACTGCAACCTCTGCCTCCCAGGCTCAAGCAATTCTCCTGCCTCAGCCTCTCCTAGCTGGGATTACAGGCATGCACCACCACACCTGGCTATTTTTTTT